TTATTCAGTTTAGAATGAAAACTACATTTTTCTATTGTATTCCCTTGAGAGATGCATGCTTAACTAAACGCTAGATGTGAATGTGTCACGCTCTTAGTTACGATGACGGAGGTCGCTATCATCACTTTGGAAGTAATTGTAAATAATAATAATAATAATAATAATAATAATAATAATAATAATAATAATAATAATAATAATAATAATAATGAAAAATTGTTGTGCGCCAGTATCCATCCGTAAAGATTTCAAATCTTAAACTACAACAACTATTTCATTTTTTTATAATCTATTTAATTATTGTCATTTGAAAGGGCGTCCACGCGTGAAATATTGACGGCACCTTGTTCCGAAAAAATACTAACACTAATCTAACTATCGCCCTCTACAAAAAAGAATTTTATCTTATGTTCAAAACAGATAAAAAAACAAAACAAAGCATTACTAGGCACTACTGTAAAACTAAAACAATGACAACCAAACACAATGGGGCTTCCTCAATTAACAGGCAAATTTTGATGATCACAATATGATAATGATTTTCCCTCCTTGGTCTAAAAATTTAAAAATGCTAGATATGTGCTACAAGAACCTGTTCAGTCCATACGTGCCACAAGTATTATCTGATATATAAATCGATAAACAACCAATTTGAAAAATTTAAAAAATAGCAGTATCCTACCTTCACATTGATTTTGTAAATTTTTCTTGTAACCTTCACTACATTCACATTTACTTTCAGCCGTGGCACCATTGCTTTTAGTTTCAGAATTCATTGGACATACGTCACAAGCCTGCCGGCCCCACACTGATTTATAATAGCCAATATCACAGGCTGTAAAATAATAGATAAAACTGTACTACTCAAGACCAAATGATCTTACTCTTCATCCCTTCAAATGTATGCAGTCATGATGCCTAAAGACTGCTTGTATTAGATAAGACTTTAACAAATAGATTAAATTATTTACAACGTTCTAGCCATTCGATATTGTAAATTATATTTTGATCACTAATTTAAAGTTGTATCATAATTTATTTATTTATTATTATTATTATTATTATTATTATTATTATTATTATTATTATTATTATTATTATTATCATTATTTATTATTTATTTATTTATTTATTTATTATTATTATTATTATTATTATTATTATTATTTTTATTATTATTATTATTATGCGATTATCTCCAGTACTTGATATTCTACTGGGTCTTGTTGTTGTTGCTGTTGTTGTTGTTGTTGTTGCTGCTGCTGTTGTTGTTGCTGCTGCTGTTGTTGCTGTTATTGTTTTTGTTGTTGTTATTATTATTATTATTTATTATTTATATTATTATTATTATTATTATTGATGTGGTTACTGCTGCTGTTTCTGCTGTTGCTGTTGCTGTTGCTGTTATTGTTATTATTATTACTCTTATTATTACTACTATTACTATTACTATTATTACTACTACTACTATTATTACTATTACTATTACTACTACTACTACCACTACTACTATTACTATTACTATTATTATTACTATTATTATTATTATTATTACTATTATTATTATTACTATTATTATTACTATAATTATTATTACTATTATTAATACTATTATTATTACTTTTATTATTATTATTATTATTATTATTATTATTATTATTATTATTATTATTATTATTATTATTATTATTATTGGATTTCCCAGCAATAGCTGGAAAAGCCATTGCTTTTGCTCTTTTTTTTTTTCCATATCGTTTTTTCTTGGGTTTTCAGCCCGGCACTTTGGCTACTTCAAAATCCTTTGATCTTTTCAAAACATTTCAAGCATAGATCATATATCAAGGATATGCCTTCTAAAATTCAGTGACAATTAAAGGGGAATGAAGGAAAACACTCCACACCAGATATTTCCGGAACGGGTCAACTGATCTGAATGAAACTTTCGGGAAACTTTAATCAAGTTACATGGAAGAAATTAGTAGATTTTGGTGACGATCCAGATTCAGGTGTGCCCTAGACCTAAATATATCCAAAATTCTTAAATGGATTTAAATTAAACTTTCTATAACCGTTTGTCATGGTCCAATAAAGATATGATTAAATTTTGGTGACAATCCAAAGTAGGGTTTGGATATGAGGAAGAGATGTGCCAAAAACTGATCAACTCATCATCTGAATCAAACTTTCTGGAACGTTTAACTACATTACAGGGAAGCAATTATAAAACATTGGTGACATCTAGATTCGGGTGTGGAACTAAGTTCCCTGACCTAAATAGGCCTATCTCAAACAACTTATCAATAGATCTAAATTAAACTTTCTAGATTAGTTTGTCATGGTCCAATGAAAAGATGTTTACATTATTTTGGTGACGATCAGAAGTAGAGTGTGAATATGAGGACCATTTAAAAATATTAATAAACCGGTAATTACAATATATAAAAGCAATTTGCGCTTCTAAAGCGTTTAAACCAGTTGTAGTCTGGTTAAACGCAAAATTGATGATATGCATGAACAATTTTCGCTCTCAATCACTGAATTACTATGAACTATAAAATGCACTGACGTACTCACGGGTTGGATTGGCTCATATAGCTTGCAATTTCACTACATTGCAGTTATAATTGTGAGTCTCACTAACGTTGGGTTACTTACACATGCTTTTTTTTTTAACTTGATATGTTTTTTTTTTATTGGCCTCTGCATCAGCACAAATAGCCGTTGTTTTTGTTTTAATTTATTTTGCTTCATTTTTGTGTTTTCCTTTTTTTTTTTTTTTTTTTTTTTTTTTTTTTTGTCTTTTGGGGGTGTTTCCCACCTTTATTGTCATTCCAATGTATATACACAATTCATGCTTATATACAATTAAAATGACTGATAAAATTAATTAGATCAATTCTATCAAGCATTTGATTTTAATCATTGCTTTCACTGGAATATATATATATTTTTTTCATCCTTCCCCTCTGTAACATATAAATTTTTGAAAATTCTTGTTTAATCACTTCC